ATTCAGGACCTTCACATTAATGAAATCATATATATATATGTTCTTTTGTGATGGCTTCTTTTATTTGGCATAATCTTATTTTAAGGTTCTTCTATTTTGTAGCAAATATTAGTACTTCATTCCTTTTTATGGCCAAATAATATTTCATTGTATGGATAAATCACATTTGTTTATCCAGGTGTCAGTTAATGGAGATTCAGGCTGTTTCCATCTTTTGGCTCTTATGAATAATAGTGCTATAAAACATTCACGCACAAGTTTCTATACGGACACATGGTCTCATTTCTCTTGGGGACATACTAATGAGTGGAATTTCTGGGTCATATGATAACTCTATACTGAATCACTGAAAAGTGCAAGACTGTTTCTAAAGCAGCTGTACCCTTTTACATTCCCACCAGCAAAGTATGAGGGTTTCAATTTCTTCACCTTACCAACACTTACTGTTACTTAAGTTTTTATTCTACCCATCCTAGAGAGTGTGAAATAGAATCTTATTGTAATTTTGATTTGTATTTTTGATGATTCATAATGTTGGGCATCTTTCATGTGCTAACTGGCCATTCATCTATCTTCTTTCAAAATTGTATATTCAAATTCCATTCCCATTTTTTATTGAATTGTCCTTTAATATTGAGTTGAAAGCATTCTTTATGTGCTATAGATACAAATCTCTATTCAGATATATGATTTGTAAATATTTTCATGTATCATAATGACTTCTTGATGGTGTCCTTTGAACATAAAAGTTTTTAATTTTGAGATGCATCACTGGCTCAACTAGTAGAGCATGTGACTCATCTCAGGGCTATGAGTTCAAGCCCCACATTGGGCATGGAAGCTGCTTTAAAGAAAAAAAGTTTCTAAGTTTGATGAAGTCCCCTTTGTCTATTTTTTTTTCATTGTTTGTGCTTTTGGTGCCATATCTAAGAATTCTTTGCCAAATCTAAGGTTATAAAGATTTTTCCCTAAGTTTTTTTCTAAGAGTTTTATAGTTTTGGCACTTACATTTAGGTCCTTGATTAATTTGAATTAAATTTTGTACCTGCTGTACTGTGTGTACTGTGTGTAACTTCACTGTTTTGCTCATGTGGCCATCTAGCTGTCCCATCCCATTCATTGAAAAAGATGATTCTTTTCTTGTTAAATGGTCTTGACATCTTTGTTGAAATCAGCTGACCATATGGATTTATTTCTGAACTCTCAATTCTATTCTGTTGACTTATATACCTATTTTATGATAGCCTTTTACCATTGTTTTTAGTAAATTTTGCAATTGAGAAATATGAGCCCTCTTACTTTATTCCTTTTTAGGTTTATTTTGGTTATTCTAAGTTCTCTGAAATTGCATAGCCATTTTAGAATCAGCTTGCAAATTTCTCCATAAAAATTCAGCTGGAATTCCGATAAGGACTGCATTGGATCTGTAGATGAGTTTAGAGACGATCGTCATAATAATTTTGAACCTATGATCCATGAACCTGGGAAGTTTTTCCATTCATTTAGTCATTAAAATTTTTTTCAACAATGTTTTGTAGTTTTCAGAGTATAAGTTTTACATTATCCTTGCTAAAATTATTCCTAAGTATTTTATTCTTTTTTGTACTATTATGAATGCAATTGTTTCCTTAACTTCATTTTCAGATTGCAACACAAGTTCTTAATGTTTACCTCCCCATTAGAAGGTAAAGTCCCTGAAAGGAACCAGTATCTCATTCATTTTGAAACTTCCACTAATATAAAGTGGGCTATAGCATTACTAGTTACTCAAAAACAGTAAAGAATAAATGAATGAATAAAGTAGGAAAACACAGCTTCAATAGATAAATTTGTAAGAAATGCAGATCTTGGGTGCCTGGGTGGCTCAGTGGGTTAAGCCTCTGCCTTTGGCTCAGGTCATGATCTCAGGGTCCTGGGGGGTCTCTGCTCAGCAGGGGGCCTGCTTCCCCTCTGCCTGCCTCTCTGCCTACTTGTGATCTCTCTCTCTGTCAAATAAATAAATAAAATCTTAAAAAAAAAAAAAAAAGAAATGCAGATCTTTTCCCCCAATTTGTTGAGAGGGAAGTATTTGGATTTAAGAAATCTTGATGTGAAAGGCACCTGGCTGGCTCAGTTGCGACAGCATGCAACTCTTGATATAAATTTGGGGTTGTGAATTTGAGCCCCATGTTGGGGGTAGTGTTTACTTAAAAAGAAAGAAGAAAGAAAGAAATTGTGATGTGAAAAGTAAAAAATTTTTTCTGATTAAGATCTCATTTTTATTTTTGCTATAAGTTTGTAATTATTAAAGAGGCTGCTAACTTGAAGAGAAAAAAGTTGCTATGGTAACCCTCAGAAAGCTCAAGAGCACAAGTCACTGACAATGTATGGAGGTACGGTATACCGTCAATTACACTCCTCTCTCCACTTGTGCTGGAAGGAATATGGTGCTACATCAGACTATCTTAAAATGTTTAAACAGTCACTTAAAATAGTGACTTTTTCTTAAAGGAAAATGTGAACCTTTTCCTGTACATTGAAGGAAAGCTCAAGGATTCACGTTTCACAAACTTCATATAGTCCTTAAATAAAGTCTCAGCTTTAACCCTCATATAGTATGTTTACATACAGCACCTTAAAATGGTATTTCTTTATCTCCTTAGAGAACTCCAAATTTCACTTATATCTCATATTTCTGTTAATGTAGTTAAATGTAGGGTTTGCATAGAACCATGAAATCTCACCAAGTACAGTCTTTGTTTCTGTGATTTGCTTGAACCTGTCATTTCAGTTCAGACCTCAGTTGCAAAACAGGGATAATGCTTTACTTGTCCAAAGGCGGGAGCCTAGCACAGATGAGCCCCATGTCATTTCTAGCTCTAAGATAAAAAAATAGGAGATTTACTAGCTTTGAATGAGTTCCAGAATAAAAATCTGTTACATCTTCTAGTATGTGGTTCTGGAATCAATTTTCTGGATTCAAAGCATGGTTTCTCAAGTACTGAACACTGACCTAGTTTCTTAATTTTTCTGTACCACAGTTTCCTTGTATGTAAAATGGAGATTATAAAAGTAGTTACATAAAATTTTATAAGAAGCATTAGATCCTGACTTTAGGTGTTTTATATTTGTTAGCTGCTATCATTGTTATTACTATGACTTCCCAGAGAAGTAAAGGAAAACAAAACTCAAAACTATTCTGCTCTAAGTGTCATTTCAAATCATAGTGTTTTTTTTTAATTATTTTTTTATTATTAACATAGAATGTATCATTTGTTTTGGGGTACAGGTCTGTGATTCGTCAGTCTTATACAACACAAAGTGACATCACAACACATACCCTCCCCAGTGTCCATCACCTGACCACCCATCCTCCGCCCCCTCCCCTCACAGTGTTTTAGTATGTAAGTTAGAAAAAATGATTACAGGGATTTTGTTTATTTTGACTTTCACATTCCATTCACTGCAGCCAATTTTTAAATTCTTTTTAATATTGTACATTTATTATAGAAATATATACAAAATAATACCATGAAAAAATATACGATGTAATTCTAGTTTCTCTATTACCCGTACAATAAAAATAATGATGAAAATTGTCCCAAACTTGCCTCTTGAATACTCTTTAAAAAAAAAATACTTTTTGAGGGGGGCACTTGGGTGCCTCAGTGGGTTGAGTGTCCAACTGTTGATTTTGGCTCAGGTCATGGTCTCAGGGTCATGAGATTAAGCCCTGCATTAGGCTCTATGCTGTGTGTGGAGCCTGCTTAGGATTCTCTCTCCCTCTTCCTCTGCGCCTCCACCCTCCACACCCCTCACCCACTCTCTCTGTCAAGGGGAAAAAAATGAAATAAAAAAAATAAAAATTTTTTAAAGTTTTATTAATTTATGTAATCTCTACACCCAGTGTGGGGTTTGAACTCATGACCCTGAGAACAAAGAGTTGAATGCTCTTCTGACTGAGCCAGCCAGGTGCCCCAGCCTCTTGAACATTCTTAAGAAAAGGACTTTTTTGAGTCATTGAGGAAAATCTTGTAAAGATGCCTCTTTTTCCGTCTGGGGAGGACTGACCTCTTTTCCTGAAAGTGTAGCTTCAGGAGATTTATACACAGAAACAGCAAGGGAAGAGAGGGACTTGTCCTATTCAGATCAACTTTTTTTCTTCCCTTTTTTCCCTTCAAAATTTGGAATGTAGAAAAAGATACATACCATAAAATTTACCATTTTAACCATTTTTAAGTATACAGTTCAGTGAAATTAAATACATTCATAAAGTTGTGTTACCATCACCACTAACAATTTCTAGACCAGTTTTCATTTTGCAAAACTGAAACTCTATACCTATTAAATAATAACTTTCCATGTCCTCTTCCCCTCCAGATCCTGGCAACCACCATACTACCATCAGTTCTATGATTTTTTAATACCTTAAGTACTTCGTGTAAATGGAATCACAGTATTTGTCTTTTTTGCAACTGACTTATTTCATTTAGGATAATGTCCTCAAGATTCATCAGTGTTGCTGCAAATGTCAGAATTTCCTTCCTTTTCAAGGTTGAATAATACTCCATTGCAATATAGGCCACATCTTGCTTATCAATTCATCTGTTAATGGATTTTCAGAATGCTTCCACATTTTAGCTATTATAAATAATGCTAAGAACACAGGTGTACAAATATTTCTTCAAGATATATGTTAGATCAGCTTTATGATTAATGAAAAGATACCAGTAAAAATCAACCTCATGTCACAATGATATTACATGTTTACAAGAAATCAAAGAAAAAAATAATAACATTATTAATGATGGACTTACATATACTCACTGTATATTAAAACCACAACTACACAACAATTTAACAATCTAAACTAAAAGACATTTTTCTGGCATTTCTGAAATCTGTTTTACTTAAATGGCAAATGAAAATAACTTATCAGACTCAGACTCATAAAGCATGTATATATTGTTCCTCCTTATGTCACACTAGTTAGGGGAAAGAACTTTTAGAAAGATTTGTACCTGGATAAGATGTGTTGGCATTGTGATGATACAGGCTGAAAGAGAAGTTCGTAGAAGACCACGGAGAACATAAAGGAACTTCGTAAGGCTGTGGCTGTTGTCACAGTTTTCCGTACAGCAAATGTCATCTCCCCACAAAGGTGAACCAAGATTCTGGATTCCTATTCTTAAAATGTTTTTCTGTTTTTTCTAAAGGAAAGTGGGAGTGAGGTAAACACATTAAGTTTCATTAACCAGTAGGCTACCTCTTTCACTTCTCTTTGCCAGTTTTTAAATTTATAAAAGATTAGGGAGGTAAAGTCAGTAGAGGTGGTAAAATGCGTAGTTAGTGTAAGGTAAGATAAAGGAAATCTTCACTATTACAAGACTGCAAAAACACAACTGACTTTTTTTCTTACTTTTGTAAAATTTGAAGAGTATCAAAAGCCTCAATCTTCTACATTTTAACAGTGACTACTCTAAGGATTGTTTGAGGCGTCTGAAATAATATATAAAAAATCAGTTAGCAATAAAGAACATCTACACCAGAAGGCTTACAAACCATTCTTAGTATTACAAAATTCTACAAGTCTTTCAATAAACTATAATTTGCTCAATATTTCTCATTTAAAATGCTACTGTGTCCAATGTCTGATACTTTGAAAGAAGTTTAAAAATGTGTGTTTTGGTTTTACACTCTCTCTATATAAGACTTTACTTATTCTTCTTGAGGTTATTTTTACCAAATAATTTAAATTTAATGCTTTCCATAAAATTGAACAAGTGAACATCTAGAAGTCAAGACTACTGATATAGTGACTAATATTTCCTGGAAAAAGAACATTTAAAAACCATTAAATAAAACCTAGGATGATTATCAGTAAGTGTTTGCCAGAGATGTATTTATAACAGATTTTACTGAACAAATGTTTTATAAATGCTTTCTTTAGCAATCTGGCAAAATTTCTGGGCAAAGGAGGAGACAATAGCAAAACCTGGTGCATGGAAGTAATTTAAAAATTATTATTACAATTCTCATTGGGAAAGTTAAGTTTTCTCTATTAAAGCAGACATTTGGAACATGTGCCATTTTTGAGTGTGATTTCTGCTGAAGCCAGATCCTACAATATATCACATGTTATTGCTATAATAAAACTAATAAAATTTATTTAACTAATATAATTTATTAACCACCCACTAGCTCCCTGATATTACAGATAAAAGTTGAATTTGTGTTATTTTTGAGAGTTTATCAATAAAGGAAAGTAGGGAAAATGTTAGAAGAGGAAAAACAAAAGGGGACAATAATTAGTAAAATGGGTAAGACAGATATTCAGAGTCTGGGCTGTGTAATTAAGAAGATGCAGTTCTAGGCAAGACCCATACACTACTTAGGCATTCATTTTCTCATCTCTACAATAAAAAGGACAGAATAGAACATTGTTCTATGAGCCTATACAATTCTTCAAATCTACAAAGGGAAATAATGGGTTGGATACAGCTATTAAAATGAGATTACAGAAAAAGGAATTTAGTTTAAGCACATTAAAAAAAAACCTTCCTGACTCCAAGAACCTGGAACACAATGATACTATCAAAGTAGCCGGTTCAATTTTCTTTTCTGGTCATATTAAGTTTATGATAGGCAGTCACCTTAAGATATATGTTATGATCCTCAGCAGTCCATAAAAATTGTTTTCTTTTTTAATTTCTGCATTACTTGAATGAAATGAAATAATAATATGTACCAGGGCTTGTGTTAGAAGTTTAAATAAGTTTTGGATGAATTCATGTAAAATATCTGTGAACTGACAGGTTATCCCTTACATTGTATTACTTAGAAACTCAGAATTTAAGTAAAATGGCAAGATTACATTTTATTTTGTCATTCCTAAACTTGTTTTCTCATGTATCTCAATTAGATTCGCAACAGAAAGAGCAATCTGGAAAAAGGGAGAGAGAAACCTTTCCCTAAAATCTAGGTATTAGAACAAAATCTGAAGGCAGAAGGAGAGCAGCATTATATCATTTTCCCTGTCAACATTTCAGAAACTGAGGGCCAGCTGTATATTTTAACCCAGTCACTATTACCAACTATTGTATCAAAGAGCATCTGCTAAAAGTTTATAACAAAAATGTTCTTAGGTGCAGAAGCAGGAGAACTACAGAGGTTTAGCAACCTTGACAGATACATTGATATATCTGAAAAATAATGAAAATATTAAGCCAAAGAATGAATAATAAGATATTTAAGTGGGGTAGGTACTGAGCACACCAGAGTATAACTGAGCATAATACTTCAACATAGAGAATACATTTATATTTTTTAAAAAAATGACAGTAATGGCAAAAAAAAAAAAAAAGGCTGAATTACGAATTTCTTGTGTCGTTTTTGTTATAATTCCTTTGCTATGACATATAATAATGGGGGCACATCGTAGGGCATAACAAAATTTAAAAAATAAACTTTTGTGTTAAGCTGAACAATAAATACTTACATTTATTCCTATGAGAACATGCAAAATATTTAATCTGGTATTCTAAGGAAAATCAATGTTCATTACTATTACATATCTCTTAGATATTTAGTTACATTCATAACTTAAATGAAATTATAGCAGCGATTTATAAATGTCTCCATTCCAAATAACCTTACAGATGAGCTACACTACTTTACTTACTACCAAGGTAATCGTGTAATAGTATATAATACTCAGTTCCTAATAGCCTACTTCAAGTAAACTAAATTAAGTTATTTGAAAATATAAGTTTATTTGAAACTATAGTGATAGAGGAAAGAAGAAGAAAATTTCCTTTTAAAAAGAAGAATTTGGGGCACCTGGGTGGCTCAGTGGGTTAAGCATCTGCCTTCAGCTCAGGTCATGATCCCAGGGTCCTGGGATGGAGCCCCACATCAGGCTCCCAGCTCAGCAGGGAGTCAAGGCTTCTCCTTCTCCATCTGCCACTCCCCATGCTTGTGCTCTCTCTGTCTCTTTCCCGAATGAATAAATGAAAAAACTTTTTTTTTAAAGGAGGATTTATTTCAGTATCAGAACATTATTTTGACTCAGGAATAATATTTTTTGAAGTAGTGCTTCATAGATGCATTTTTGTGGCTTCTTGAACTCATCTAAAGTTTCTGAGACAGATGTATAGATAAGGTAATTTGGCAAATGATACATTCCATAATATAACAATATGGAAATTTTTTAATATAAAAACAACATAAAATTTATGCTTTTGCATGTTGTAAATTTTTTCACCATTCTTTGTATTCACCATATAAATATCTACATCAACTCTGTTTAATCTTTGTGAAAGTCAATAGTTATAGAACCTCTGGTTCAGAGAGACAAACCAGTTCAATTCGTTGCTTATCAACTTTCATGAAATAAAATACCATTTATTGAAAATTGTGTTGTTTTTCATACTCAGATAAATGACTAGGAAATTTCATTCCATTCTAATAATAGCTTACTGATCAAGGGTCCTTTGGATGGATGTGTGCAGATGTGTGTACACATGTGTATATACATATATATGCAAGTATATCTTTTTGCTATTGGCTTTGCTTTTTTGCACTTTATAAAATTTCTTGCTCTTAGAAGATTTATCTCATTCTGCAAGAACACCAGCTCTGCACACTGTATCATAGGAACTGTTATGACATGCCTGTTTCCATAGCAACCACAGCCAGTGGGGAGAGGTGTCTGTCAGGGACCAATTTACCTCTCCAGACGGGCAATGCTACTAAAGGGATGACACAGTGCCCATAAATCTTAGCTAGAACCAAAAATGGAGCAACAATGAGCAAAATAAAATTGTAATAAAAACTGAGCCCACAAAACTGTAACATACATGAAGAGTTATCTATAAATAAATGTGTATGCTTCACCACACACATAAATATTTTCAACTTGCTATTAAACTGATGATCAGCTATGGTGAGTGCTGTGAAATTTCTAGGCCTGATGATTCACAGACCTGTATCCCTGGGGCAAATAATACATTATATGTTAATAAAAATAATTAAAAAAAAAACCTGATGATCAAAACAAATTTAAAAATTACCTTGCTGTGGAAAAAAAATTAAATACAGCAGTAAAGTTTATAGGAATACTTAAAATTTATGGATTAGGAGCAAATGCAGTTGATAATGCAAAAAAGAAAGACTTCTGGATTCCTTGCTTTCTTCAGTAAAAATAATGGTGCTCTGGAAATACTTCTGCTAAAATAATAATAATGAACTGAAAATCTTTAGCAGCTATAGCAATTAAAGTCACTGAGAAAGATTTCTGAAAGGCATGATATCTGGAAATAAAATTTCTCTCATTTTGTTTAAGTTAAACTAACCGGAACATCTTTAATAGTAGGAATTTGGAATCTTTAACAGAGGGAATTTAAAAACGTCCATTTTTAAAAATAGAGCTACAGAGAAATAATTAAGTTATAAAATATTTTAAGATAGCAAATAAAATCACCTTTTATTCAATGAGACAACTCAAAGCATGATGTTATAAGAAATAAAATCTTAACTAATTTTTACTCATAAGGGAATTCAGTTAAGGACTAACTGACAAATATAAAAAATTTAGATAAGAAAGTACAAGTCCTGCAGATTTAGGAGTAATTTTAACATGTGGTTATTTATTAATTCCAGGTGCTACAAATATGGACTTCAGATAATTTACATCAACAATGTATGCATACATCTTTCGTGCATACACTGAGAACTTAGCTAAAACTTTAAATACACATTAACAATCAAACTAAGGCTGCCTGTGCACTGCTTATGGACATCTTCTGTGCTTGGAAACAGCTTGCTCCCTGTTGATTATTCTAAGACCTTCTGGGTTTACCTCTAAGGAGTTTAAAAGCAACATTATACACATGATTACAAAAGGTTTTGAAGGTACTCAATACCTGGGGATTGGATCCATCAAATCCTTCCTCATATATGACGTTCTGGATAAACTGAAGCAGCTTTCTGTAGCCACCGGTCAAAGAACTGTTGGTAAGAAGGGGTTCAAACACATAAATGGGCTTATTACAAGGGAAATTCAAAATCTAACCCAAAACATTAAGGAAATAATTAAAATTTATGAAATTACTTAAATATAATATAAAATGAACCAAAATAGTAAAAATAATTTAAAAATATACAGTCAATAGACCCTGGGAATAAGTTAAAATGCCTTATGTTAACTGGCTCAGTGTTCTTGACATAATGGGAAGATAAAAATCTGTGGAGACTGAGATGGCTTAATTATGTCAAGCTTAGTTACCTCCAAGAAAATTAATGATTTAATGAAGCAACCTAAAAGATGAAGCCACTATAGCTTTTCAGGAGTAATCATAGATAATTACCACATAGTTAATGAAGTGCTATGCCAAGTACACCTGAATCAATGTCTCGATCACCTAAGCTCATTTTCCAGGAAAGTCTTAATTTTCTTAGAACAAACTGCTAAAATAATAGTAATTAAAAATTTGATCTTTTAAGGCCTATGAAGACAAGCGAGTGTAATTTCCACTTTGTTTTTAAAACAAAAATAATAAAGTAAATGTATGAATTCAAGAAGACAAATTATCTCTCACATGAATATTAGTATTAATGTTCCTATTTTAAAATATTTTACAAAAATGGGGAGATGGCAGGCTCCATTGGTACAGCATGAGACTTGTGATCTTGGGGTTGTGAGTTCAAGCCTCACGTTAGGTGGAGAGCTTACTTAAAAATGTTTTTACAAATGTTATGAAACACCTCAAAAAAAAATTAGTAACTGTGAAGAACATCTGGTTTAACACTGACTGAATTTAATATTCTTGATAATGCACAACCTGCGTGCTATGGCTGAACATTGTCATGATAACGAAGTTCTGGAGCATAGCTGTTTTATAGACATTTAAGTGACAAATGCTGTAAAAGCAGTGGGTGTCCTTAAAAATACAGAAGTGTTTGCTCCATGTGATCCTAAGTAAGGCAATCACATATGCAGAATCAGTGCCCTAAAGAAAAATGAAATATAATTGGAAGCACACATCCAACATTAAAGAACCTAACAAGTTAAGGAAAGCAGCTGACCACTTAGTGTGCAAAATCAGTGGTAGGTTACTCGGCCTGTTGCCCTTTGCTGTAAATATTTTATTAAACATAAAAGCTGGCCCCAAAGCACCTAACAAAAACAAAATAGAAAACCAAGAGAAAGGAATACTGTTATGTGCAAAATAAATATGACTCCAATTGGAGGCTTTGCCAGTATGGTTATTTCACATATAGTTATTGCTCCATTTTCAATGAGAGACTGGATTATATGGACACATTTTTCCAGTTTAGTGAGTGAAGAAATGTGTCCATAAAAAATGATATTCCATAATGGTACTGATGTGACTCTTTCATAAGTATATGAATATATAAATATATATAAACACATAAATACATATGAATAGATAAGTAACGTATTTGTCCCGGCTAGCTCAACTTCCAGAAGACAGTGCTGCTGTTTGAAGGCAGCATGTTCAATTCCTATCCGGGTCAATTAGATGTGCACAAGGGGTAAATCTGCTCCAAGGCCCCAGATTATGAAGTGAATTTCAGGCAACCATTTGACAAATGTCAATATGGGTTAAAGGAGGGCGGATCGAGAATATAACCAGTTCATTCTAATCCACCAACAGCCAATCTACTCAAGACATTATTTCACATACAACAACGTTTCTTAAGCATTTTTCCTTCTGCCCCAAATTGTTCAATAATAAAATTTGCCTTAAGTGCTTGGTAGTAAATTTGCTGTCTGAGGTGCATTACTAGACAACACCTACACAAATGAATTCTTAGTTTTTTGTTGCTACTACTCAACCAGAACAGTCGGTTATTTCTTTTTTATTCTCCCAGTCTGTTAAAGTAACTATAGTAGAGCTAAGGCCCTCTTCAAAGTTGGTAGAGAGGTTTGATATGGGAACAAAAATAAAGACATACAGTCAAACACCTTAATCTCTTTCTTTATTTAACACTGACATGAAACAATCCAGTCACCAGCAATGTTTAGAACTTTACAAATAATAAACTTCCCCAAACTCATTAGATTTCTAGGACAATAAACACTTTGATAACAAAATTAAATGGGAAAAAAATCAATATATTTAGGTATATAAATTGATAATATTCATTTATGATACATGGAATTACAGCATTTAAAACTGAACTAGTTTATATAGTATTGATATTAAACTATTATTAAGTATTGTTAATCTCTATGAGATACAGCTCCTGCCAGCAATACATATAAAAATGTCTTTTTATATATATAATTTTTTAAATTTTATTTATTTATTTGACAGACAGAGATCACAAGTAGGCAGAGAGACAGGCAGAGAGAGGGGGGAAGCAGGCTTCTTGCTGAGCAGAGAGCCCGATGTGGGGCTCGATCCCAGGACCCTGGGATCATGACCTGAGCCAAAGGCAGAGGCTTTAGCCCACTGAGCCACCCAGGTGCCCCTATATTTTTACATCTAAAATTTTTAAAAAATTAAACCCCTTTAATTTTGAGGCTGTTGTCTTTTTTTGTAGCTGTTCAGCAGTACAGTAACTTATAAATCAGGGGATGGCAGAAGAAACTCTAGTTATAAATATGACCCTGTCCTCCTTATTAATGTTTCCAAGCAATTAACAAAGGTTAGGTTATCAAAGTATTTAAAACATGTCCTAAAGCAGCACATTTCAAATCCTATATACTATTTTACCTTGATTTTCTTAATTTCCAACAACTTTTATAGTAAAAAAAAAAAAAAATTTGTGATTCCACAATTTGTCTTTAAAACTACAACAGTACGAAGAACATAAAAACAATTATTAGAACTTTAATTTTTACCTTTAAAATATCATTTAAAATTGTTTTTGGTCAAAAAAATTGTTCCATGTCTACTTCTATTACCATATCTTCTGATAGTAAATTTCTTTATATTAATATTAAATACAGGTAAGAGTTGTCCAATGACATGAAATGTAAAGCTATACATACATATATTATTATTATTATTATTATTTAAGTAGGCTCCACAACCAACATGAAGCCCAGTGCATGCTTGGACTCATGACCCTGAGATCAAGATTTGAGCTGAGATCAAGAGTCAGATGCTTAACTGACTGAACTACCCAGGCACCCCTAAATTTATATTCTGATGACCAAGCTCAACATTTTAAAAAAACTGACAGAAAGAAATGAGAATTTTGTACCTATTAGCATCTCCCCTCGCCCAATTTTCAGCAGGACATCTGACAGACATTTACAACAATTAATTTCAATTTCTATTGACAAATGGCATTTTGGTTTTTTTGTGAAAAGTAATTTTGTCATCCTCATTAAGAAAGTTTAAAAAAAAGGGGGCACCTGGGTGACTTAGTCCATTGGGCTTTGGACTCTTGATTATGGCACAGGTCATGATCTCAGGGGTCATGGGATCCAACCCCATGTTGGGCTCCATGCTCAGTGCAGAGTTTGCTTGTCCCCCTCTCTTTGCTCCTCTCTATGCTCGTGCTCTTTCTCTCTCAAATACATAAATAAATCTTAAAAAAAAAAAGATTTTAAAAATCTGCTATAGTATATCTAGATGTAGATAAAGATGCAGTATATCTAGAAAAGAAATCAAGCAAATAATAAATACCACTTGGTGACCTTGTAGTTTCTCAAACAATGAACAAAGGAATACTGAAAAGTCTCAATGCGATTAAAGAATATATGTAAATGTAACAACAACAAAAAAGCTTGAGTAACAAAAGATGAGATTTTATTTGTGAAAATATAAACTACAAAAGTAAAAATACATATATATGAAATAACTAGTTGATACAGGAAATGTTTTCTTGTAAATAATAAACTCAGGTATTCTTTGTAACAAAACTACTTGATTTTATCTACTGGCAAACTGTCTAACACAGTAAATACTCAGGAAATGTTTGCATCTCTGTCACATTTGATCATTACAATAGCCTTGTGAGGTAGTCATTAGCTCTATTTCATGGTAGGGAAGAAAATTAAGACCCTTTTGGAGACTTAAGTGATTTGTTCAAAGATGTACAACAATTAAGTGACAGGCACCTAAAAAGTTTTCTAAGCCTCAGAGTGAGATCCAGATTCAATAAAAAGTCTGTGGGTTCAAATACACTAATGTGGCTGTGATGAGGTTTGAACATGACTCCATTTAACACAAAGTATCCAGGTGTATAGTTTTAGGAAGAGATTTTTCTTTTAATCCCACCTATGAAACCTTCACAATAGGCCTCACTTGTATTAACTTGGTACATAACATATAAAGACAATTCAAGATGGAAATAATGTAGGTTTACAATACATAAACGATACCAGCGTAACACAGTGGGAAGTATGCTCAAGACCTGGGCTCCTGGTCTTTCTGTATCAGCAACTAGAGCTAAACATGTGATAATGAGGTAAAGTACTTAACTTTTCTGGTCTGGGGCTCAAAATTTTCTCAGGTGGGGCACCTGGGTGGCTCAGTGGGTTAAAGCCTCTGCCTTCGGCTCAGGTCATGGTCCCGGTGTCCTGGGATCGAGCCCCACATCGGGCTCTCTGCTCTGCGGGGAGCCTGCTTCCACCTCTCTCTCTGTCTGCCTCTCTGCCTGCTTGTGATCTCTGTCTGTCAAATAAATAAATAAAATCTTTAAAAAAAAAAATTTTCTCAGGTGACAGAGTTGCACTAATAATTTCTCTTGTCCTTTCTGACTTAAAATTACATAGTTCAAGAATGATTTTTCTTTTTAAGACTGATTTCTCTCATTAAAATGATTAATTGCTGGGTTTTTGAAAATAAGAACTTCTGGTGCATTTTAATATTGATATTACTACTTGATAGAAATACTTAGGAAGAAAAACTGTTATTGCACCCAATTAGGATTAATTTAAAGTGAAGATGAAGCATTTTTGATATTATTACGCAAATCATTGAGAAAATATGATTTGTATTACCAAAATTCTATTTACACATATATTT